GGAAAAATGTAATTTTAGTAAAGTTTCCCGAAATAAGTTCAAATGTTTGTTAACTGCCGCCTCCTTCCATAATCTAAAACAGACCTACCGAATAACCTAAGACTGAAAATCTGCAATGCTGAGTCTTTAAAGCCTTTTTGTCCACGTCACTCAATTGTTTTTTCTATTTTTATATTTTTTCGTATGTTTTTGTTGAGAAATGACTTTTTATTTTTTTTTTAAAGAAATTTTGAATTTTTGAACGGAAGATACTGTATTTTCCGGCAAGGGCACATTGATGCAGATTCAAGAACCAGCGAACCTGACTGGAATTAATTCGTTTGCAGCCAAAAACAATCAGCACTATTTCTGTTGAGGTCACATTCTACATATATAGAAATAATTTTTATTATTCTATTTTTAGATTTTTTTTCGGTGTCTTGATTATTATTATTAAAAAAGTATATTTTGTCTAGTGTTAAGTAATTAATACGTACCTCCAGGTCGGTCATGAAACTATCGAGTCCTCCGATGATGCCATTCTTAAGCACGACATGCCAAGCGCACTACACCGCGTCGAGACAGCGGCTACTCTCTTGCAGCAGGCCTCGGATATGCTGCGCGCCGACCCGTACTCTGGCCCCGCTAGGTAAGTACCAGCAGCTAAATCTATTATATGAGTTAATTAAAAACATTACTTATTATAGGAAATGAACTATTTTTCCGGATTTAAATAGCTTACATTTGTTTTTTCAAACAAACCAACGTTTCGGACCCTTAACAGGTCCCATGGTCACGGTTGACTGAGGTGGTATATTCATCGACCAGTTATATCTAATATTAATGCAAACCACCCTATTTTTTCATTAAGTACCTTAATTATTTTTAATTTTACAAAGAAACATTCCAATTTACGCTTTCAATTAAATGGTTGAGGAAACTAATTTCCATCTGTGAAGAATATGCAAAGTTACTTGGCTTGGTTTATAATATTAAGAAAATAGTTTTTATGGTCTTCAAATATAAAAAAGGACCGGATTTTGTACCTGATGTGTGTCTGAATGGTAGTAGGTTGGTTAGGGTAAATTCCGTTATCTTGGTCATATAGTTATTGAAAGTCTTAGGGTCGTATTCCAGAACTCTACTCAATGCTCAAGTCAGGATTTGAGCATACTTGACTATGATTTCAAGCACTGGAAATACGCTCCTAATGGCAAGGACTTGAATATGATTTTCAGTGCTCACTGCAATACTCAAGTCCTGACTCGAGTATTGCGTAGAGTTCTGGAATACGACCCTTAGTGATAATGATGACATTGAGCGAGAAAAGAATATTTAACAATGGTAGCATGTTGGCCAGGAGAGTTGCACTCTGTTCAGATCAAGTTAAAGTAACGCTCTATAAGGCGCACTGTCAGACGCTATATACGTGTAGTTTGTGGGTTAACTGTACCAAACAAGTACAATGCCATCCGCGTTCAATATAATGATGTATTTAGATCTATGTTTAAATTGCCGAGATACTGGGGCTAGGTATCTGAAATGTTTTTGTTTAGCACGTACGGACGGGTTTGCTGCTGTACTTGGAAAGAAGGTTTCTTCTCTTAGACAGACAATAGATAGATAGTACTAAAAGCATTATAGCTGCTATAGCTTGAAGTTGCGACTCGTCCATACTGCGACATGGGATTGCAGTTATTAATAATTAAGTACCTATTTATTGGTTACCTATTAGTATTCCGAAATGACATTTTCCAGAAATAACGTTTGGTCGAAATTTCATAACCTCGAAAGTAATTTTGAGAGGAAAATGTTTTTTCTTTTCGCTCCTTGCTCGTGTAACACCTAGCTGGTTCATCTTGATGGATCACGGGCAATTAATTATCTCTTCCCGTGGTTCACCTACATCCACCTGGTTGGACCACTGGCAATTATTTCTTCCCGTGGTCACCTAGGGATTTTTCTTTTCTCGTTTATAAAACACCTTGTTATTAAAACTCCTTTAACATTTCAATTGCAAAGATACACGAGATTATTTTATTGTCTGTTAATTGACAATTTGATGATTGAATATGTTGTAGTTTACGGCAGTGGTTGCCTGAAGGACTAAAATACGGATAAATTAAATTTTAAAAGTATGAACTTAATTTTATTCTGAGAAAAGGTGATGTTTGGCAATGTTTTATTGTTCAAGGAACATCAATATTACGAAATTAAAACATTTAAAAACCCAACCGCGCTATGAAGGTGTTCAAAATGTTAATGTTTGAGGTGGATCACCACCAATATAAGTTTGAGTATTTCTATTTTATACGTAAGAGGTGAACCACGGGAAAGAATAATTGCCCGTGGTCCATCCAAATAAACCAGTCAGGCGGTCCACGGGCAAGAAGCGTTTATTTTAAACCTTAATTAACCTAACCTACCCGAACCTAATCGTGTCTTTGCGATAAACATTCAACATATCCTGAAAGAACAACTGTTTCGTTAGAATTCGGTTTTCGGTCTAATGAAAATTCGAACAAACGTTATTTCGGACAAAAAAAATTTCGGCTTTGTGATAGGTTACCCTATTTATTGTATGTAAGAAGTTATATCTAACATATAATTTTTTTACCTAAACTTCGAGGAACATAGACAGAAAATTTCGGTATTCGGGAAATCACTTAAAAATTGACGTGATTGGGGACAGTCAGGTACACTATATTTGTCTTAACTTTGCGACGCACAGTGTGTCGGATCTGCGATATTGTGGACATAGGATTTTGTTTTTCACGATACCTCTCTAAAAAAATGCCAATCGAGAGATCCTATTGTCCTAATTAAATATTGTCATATCACATTTTACCACAAATGTAATAGTTTAATAGGAAAAAAATAAAATGTGTATTTTTTGTATTGTATACCATTAGTGCCCCATCGTTACAAAGTCTTAGTCGATCCAGTCTTGTAATCACTACAGACGTATTATTTGACCTATCTTCTATAGATTTGCATACTAAACGCGCCCAAACCTGATTGTATGCGTCAGAAAATGTGCAATATAAGCAGTAGTAGTATTTTTGAGCAATTTTTGCACATTTTAGATCGAGTTGTATTATGGAAGAATAGCGGGCCATCTGTTTATTAAAAAAAAAATCTAAAACCCATTATTTGCAAAATCCGAAACTGTTTCAAATGTTTTAGTTAAAAACGTGGGCACAAGGCGGTAATATAACACAGATTTTTTTTAAACATCTTGTTAAAGTCTGGCACCTTGTTCCAATCGCAATTTGGATACAATTCTAAAGCTGCAATCATTACGGAGATGTTGCTGTTCATTTCCTGGATTATTTCCCTTGTCGCTTCCGAATGGAAAACGGTTCCCCGAGCGCAGTATACACGCCCTGATGTGTGTAGAAGTTCAACTTTATCACCGGTTGGCATACGTTTTAACTTGTTCATGGCCAGTACCCACAAAAACGTCACAATTATTTCTTGGCGTAGTTGTGTTGATTCAATAGATAATGTTCAATGGATGTAAATCATTGCATTCTGTCAGTTGTTGATACTTTCTCTATAGAAAAGTAGTAGGCAGGCAACTACACAGAAAGCACTTGGAAGCTCGTCCAGGGAAGCACCTTACCTACTTCTGCCGCCAAGGAGAAGAATAGGGGTCCTTGTGAAATTACAGGCACATGGGACATGGCAACTAATGTCTCGGGTTGACGCAGTGGCAGTGCCCATAAGGTCTTTGCGCTTTAAAGCCCTGAGTGGCACTGCGTCTATTATGGATAAGCGTGTCGCTTACCACCGGGCGCACGACTTTTTCGTCCCATTATTTGATATTAAAAAAAAATAAATTTTGTTTTCTGTTCAGGAAAAAGCTGATAGAAGGCTCACGCGGCATCCTGCAAGGAACTTCAGCTCTGCTGCTCTGCTTCGATGAATCAGAAGTCCGGAAGATTGTCAAAGAATGCAAAAAGGTTAATTTTAAAACATTAATGGTTCGTCGAATTGTCGATCTACTGCACTGCTGTGTGCCTCTCTCGACCCGACCCTCAGCTTGTTGCTCCCATCTGCTGTCAGCAGCCTTTCGACTCCATCTGGCATCTTAACACTATGTTTGTCGAGGCGTGGTCTCCACTCAAGAACTCCTTTCCGTTGGTTCTGGGTTTTTCGTCAGATATGACCCGCCTACTGCTACCAGCGAATGCTTGCCGACCAAAATTCGTAAATCGAGTTTTGTTCAAATGGAATGATATTATCACAAAATGTTTACTGCTTTCTGATCTAGACGATACGATTTGCCTTTGTATTGAATCGGTTCCCTTGAAAATAGGATTTAAATAAATCGATACTAAAAATCGTTAATTCGTATGCATTTGTCGTAATGTCTCTCGAATCTACAGGATTGCAAGGCGAATATTGTTGTGAGGTTTTCATCTAAAAAAGGTTTTTTGCATCGAAATTTGTAATAACTATGGAATGAAACGAACGTGTTCGACACGTGTGTGTGTGTTCAAGTGTCGCACATGTGTTCAAGGACTTGCACACCAGTTTACATAGTGTCGCCATCCCTGAGATCCCAGGTTCCATCCCGGCCGGGTCAGTGTAGAAAAACCAACTTCTCTATATTGTCCCGGACCTGGGTGTTTGTGTTACCGTCGTTTTCGATTTCCATAACACAAGTGCTTTAGCTACTTACTTTGAGATCAGAGCGACGTATGTGATTTGTTTTATATTTATATATTTTTTTATTAATTGCACGCTATTGTGGACAGAAATGGTGAAAAACACCTTCGGTAAAACTTTGTTAAAACCCGGGCGAGTTGATTCGGTTTTTCCCACTGCAATGTGTGTTGTGCAGAGATGGCTGCACAACACACATTTCAGTGCTAGAGTGAAAAATAGGAATATTTTCCACCATAACTGCATTTAGCGAGCATCAAGTTACTATCTGATTACAGTGAGACTGACCGTCAACGGGAAGATATGGGATTGTTCTATTCGAAAATGAACCTTGGGAACTACAAAACACAACCTTTTTCAAACCAACATATTTCATATACTAACTACGGCATTAAAGTTCGTGTTTATGTGTTTTAGGTGCTGGACTACTTGGGCGTGGCCGAGGTCATCGACACCATGGAGGACCTTGTGCAGTTCCTCAGAGACATCTCACCAGCTCTATCTCGTGCAGCGAGGGAGGTTAGTGTTCGCTTCTCCAATTTAGCCACTGCTGCTTTTTTATAATAAAATGTAATGGAATTGAATGGAATGGCATGGAAGGGAATGAAATAGAAACTATTTATTACAACGCCACAACACAAAAATAAAATACAATGACAAAATAAAAATAAAATTAAATAAAAGTAAAATCGTAATAATACTACGAAATTATGAAACGACAACAAAGCAATAACATTAAATAGTCAACACTATTGTGTACTAAGTAGATGTCGTGTGTGCAGCTGTGGTGTATGTAAAATGATTCCACTCCGCTAATGTCACTGCCGAGAAAAGGCTGTAACGCTGATTTTCAGTGGACCCTAAAACTGAGAACGAACATTAAACGCATTAGGACATCACTAATTGATTAAAATTCGAGCTGTCAAAAGTTAAATTATTGGTTGGACGGAGTGTAACTTAAAATTTGGTATAGTATGGAAATACGATGACATTACAATAATATGGTAACCTGGAAATGGTGCTGCAACCGGGATTTTTTTTTTTTTTTTTTATAATACCAAGTGACGGGACGAACAAGTCGTGAGCCTGGTGGTAAGCTACACGCATGCCCATAACAGTTGCAGTGCCACCAAGAGCTTTAAATTACAAAGATCTTGGGGGCACTGCCTCTGCGCCCGTCACCCTGAGACATAAGTTGACAAGTCTCATGTGCCTGTAATTTCACCAGCACCCTTACCCTTCACAACCGGAACACACACATACGGATACTGCACACTACCAAACTCCTCGATTACTTACAGTAGAACTTCCGTGTTTGGGGCTCTTTAAATAGGTTTAGACGGTTCTTTTAACTTAGCTCTATAGCAGGTTAGGCAAGCAGGAATATTCTTTGTGCGTGTCATGGTGATTAATTGACAATTGTGCCGTCGTAGGTGGCAGCACGAGCGTCGGAGTTGACGCACCCACCCCACGCGGAGACCCTGACGCGATGTCTGGAGAGCGTCAAGCAACTGGCGCCGGTCCTCATCTGCGCCATGAAGATGTACATCCATATCCTCACTGAAGGTGCGAAGTTTGTTCATTTACAGTTTTATAGCTATCGTTAGCAGTGAGTCCAACTTTATTTGTGTTTTTATAATATCAAGCGACGGGCCGAACAAGTCGTGCGCCTGATGGTAAGCTACACGCCTGTCCATAACAGTTGCAGTGCCACTCAACAAGTCCCATATACCTGTATTTTCGTTTACATTTTAATTTATCATCAGTGTATGACTTGTTCGCCCCATCGCTTTAAGTATCATAAAAAAAAACTATTGAGAGTGTGATTTATATTATTTGTAACAAATTTCAGGCAGCAAAGGCATGGAAGAAGCAGCGGAGAATCGCAATTACCTCGCTCAACGCATGGCAGACGAAATACACGAGATCATACGAGTGTTACAACTGACTTCTTACGTGGAAGATGGCGGGGAGAAGGACAACATTGCTGTATTGAAGGCTTTGCAGGCGCAAATACATGGCAAGATCGCTACTGCACACGAGTTTCTTAACGTAAGTACTGTTACAATGACGTATTGATGAATAATAAATGTAGTAGAAGTGCTTAGTGGGTGTGGTACGTATGCCAACAGTTCGCGCAGTTCAGTAAATTTGAGCTTAGTCTTTTTTGCTATTTTTATGTTAAAAATGCTACTTTGGAGTGCAAAAGTGATAGTCGCACATCATCATCTATGGTGGTGTTTGATATCGTCGTTAAATCACATTTTATTTAGTTTTAATATTTTATTCCATTTTTTGTTTATTGTAATAGATTTTTTTGTTATTAGAAACGAAAGTGAACTTTATATAGCTGCTGTATGGTCGAGTTTTTTTGGAGGACATTAAGAATCTATACTATCCCAAATGACTTTGGTTGATTCCGCGAAAGTGTTGAATCAATTGGTTTCAAAAATATATAGTAAAATTGGGGATATACACGGGTGATTCCTTAAAATTTTCGTAAAAGAAATAAAACATAAACTTACCTTGAAATTTTGCAAGAAAACCGCTGTATTCAATAGGTAACAGAATTAAATAGAACACGTATAGTATCCGAGATACAATTTTCTTATATCGCAATAAAGTCAGTGCCCCTGCCACTGGACCCGCGCAATAGAACCGAGTAGAGTTAATATCACATCAATCGTTCGTCGTCAAGCTGTTGTCGCTAGATGCAGCGCATTGAATGAAATGTAAAATCAAAACGTCGTAACTTGCAATAATTTTCTCAAAATAATAAATAAATAGTGTAGTAGTAAAATGTCTATACCATCACGCCAATGTATCCTTAACGTCTTAGTACTTTTAGAAACATCATAATATTGTGTTACTGAAATCCGGTGGTGGATGGATAGTGCAGGTCCAACCTAGTTTAGGCACCAGTCTTCCACCTCGCAATTCCACAGTACTTTACTTAATTATCCTGTGAATGTATTGTTAAGGTAGAAAGAACAATAAATAACTTTGTTTTTCAAAACAACAATTAGAAACATCGACCGATGAATATCAAGATTTCATAGCGCTTACGTTAGGATGTGCGTTTGAGCGGCAGCGGCTGTGCTGGCATCGTCCCGGAATGACCCGTGTGTCCGCAGGACCCGGCGGCGCTGCGCAACAGCCTGGGCGAGCGCGCGCTGCGCTCCGTGCTGACGTCCGCGCAGCGCGCCGCCGAGCACGTGGCGCCCGCGCTGGCCGACGCCTTGCGCCGCTCCGTCAGGTAGCCCACAAGCCTCCCCCCCTCCGCCCCGCCTTCATTTCTGCTGGTGAACTCCCGGCCCGTACGTTTATTTATACAGGGTGAAATCGAAATCGTTTGCGTCCTTTTCAAATAATACCCCACTCGTGATACCTGTCAATGTTGTAGCTTATGAAAACCGGAAAATCTTTACATGCATACCATGCGATAGACTGTTGTTGCAAATAATCGTGAAATAATAATTATAATAAAAAACAACAAAAATAAATAAACTCCATTAAAATATAGCAAGTATCAAACGCTGTCGTCGTCTAAATAAATACGTTCTACAAGTTGTTTGTAAAGAAGGATCCTTGTTACCACTTCGCGGGCGATCTGCGTTAACGCAAGTCACACGGCCTCTCTCGCAAATTGCGAATTTGGATTGCAGTATAGTATACAACAAATTTAAATGTAAATGTAGTGTAATGTAATTAGCAAGGCCCATTATTGGAGCCAACAGTTGCTACACATGGTTTACTGTACGACCGTACAAAAAAAAGTTAAATGTTCATGCACACCGCTATTAGGACCAACACTCTAAACACTACACCATGGAAGCAGTCAACCATGAGAATCGAACCCATGACCTCGAGAACGAGAGTCTAACGCTCTAACCACTATTTGTCGAACTACGTTTTCATTATTTTGCCGCAAACGTATTTTGATTCTTTGGTTATTTTGGCAAGACGTTTTAAATTTTTATAATGTTTCTGTACTATTGCTAATTTAAATTACTCTAAAATATTTCTTTAGGTGAGTGAATTAATAAGTTCAACAGATGCCAATGATTTTAAAATCACCCTGTATATACATGTAAGTTCCGTAGCCATGATTGATATTAGAGATTAAGTAAGTACTCAGGGAATGATACAAAATTCGGTACGTGGGACAAAAACTTTAATCAATATCTTGACCGACGTAAATATATATATGTATATAAAAATTGATCCTGATACTAGGACTGTCAAAATAAGAATAAAGAAAACGAAGGCAATAACGCAATTAGTATATTCACAATTCCGTCGTTTTTTTACAATCTATCGATAAAACTGTCGTCAATAACTATTATATATTAATGACTGGCAACCCTACCCAACCTGTATATGTCATTTTACTCCGTCTCCAAAAAAAGATATACTATAAGCATCAGCTCCTGAGTTCATTACTTAATACATTCCAATACTCTATTTCCGCGCAATTAAAACCCTGGACGAACATCTTCGAAATGAGCTCTGCTGCTGCTGCTACATCTAATGCGTTGGATCTCGATCTCTTTCGTGCAACAGATCGGGCGGCATCAACGCCGACCAGCTGTGCGACGAGCGGCAGTTCGGGCGCGGCCGCGACAACCGCGCCCTCAACCTGGCCAACGACCTGCGCCAGCAGCTCAACGAGCTCGACTCCATCGTCAACGAGGGCGTCAGGGCCGCCGAGAAGCAGGGCGGCAGGACTATGCAAGCCAGGTACGTTCAACTTTGAACAATCACGACTTGTGACTACGAAGAAGTCATCAACGAATTGCCAAGTAGATAGATAAATACTTTATTCACGAATATAACACAAATACAGATTAAGCATAAAAGAAAAAGCATGACATGATTGTTAAGTGAGAATAATAATATACATAGTAAAATGTAAATAGTGCATCTAAAATAACCTATTTGATATGTAAGTGCATGAGCGAGTGTGAATATAATTACAGCTGTAGGAGTAAATTGTGATTGTAGAGAGATTTTAATGTTGTATAATGTATTTAGTATATAATATAATTATATACATAATGTGAATAGATCAAACCAACAACAAAATTCGATTCTAGTCAGTGTGGTGAACTCATGACTAATCGAATCCAGGAAATGACGAAATCGACCATGTGCTTTTTCACTGCAAATTTAATTGCATTGTACTTATTCGTTAAGATGAAGCAAAAAGTTTTCTCGAATAATCTGTTTTATTTTATATAAGCTTGAAGTTCAGAAAAAAACTATACATTTGGTGCATTGACTTACAAATAAATTAACTTACTTAAAAAAAAAAACGACGGGTCTAATACAAAAACCACGAAAAAAATGTCCCAAGTCAACCTATTTAAATGTAGTGACATGTAAAGGAATATGAAAAAGCTAAAACGTTGAATTTAAATTGTAATGTCATCGCAGTACTGTCTAATTTTGCTTGCTTCGCTGTCAGTCGAACAAACGAAGACTAAAGCATGAATGACGCTCTGCATACGATTTTAACGCCCTATAAGTTCGGACACTTTTTAGCGCGGACCCGACGTCCATATAATTGTAAGTCAATAATTTGGTGAATCAAGTTTATAAATTCAAATACTGCAATATTCTTAGTATTTTGAAATTATTTATTTTATATCTCTACCATCATGGCTGTATGCGTTTTTCTATCTATGGAAGAATAGCTGGCCATCTGTTTATATATGAATAACGGGCGGTGAAAAATACCAAACCTCGACCCGTTAGTATTTTTTATTTATCGCCCTTAACACACAATGTACTATTGTTAATATTGTAATATGATGATGTTACAGATTAGAGACAGCTCACAAATGGTTGCTGCACCCGGCGGCTGATCCACAGACAAGGATCGAGGGTCAAAAGGCCATCAACAGCATCGTCTCTCAAGGGCAAAGAGTAAGTTTTATTAAATATTTTTATTCGACTTCAAATTACAGGCCAAAAACATCTATTAAAGGGTCGGTCTATGCTTCATTTCGCACTCGCAGTGGTAAAGTAACAGAATAATAGTAACAATTGAAAGATTGGGTGTAACAAGGGCGTATCACGTAAAAGTGAGATTCGAGAAAATTGCTAATAAAGTTTTAATGTCATACCTTTTTAATGTTTACAATGTGACTCTTATATAATTTGGGGTTAGAGCAAGGTAAGGTGAGGTAGGGCTTCTAAGGTATGTCATATGTTTTTAATGTTTACAATATGACTTTTATATACGTTAGGGTAGGGTAAGGTAGCTTCCAAGGTGTGGAATGAATGTTCTTCCCCTGCCTGTGCGAGACTCATATTTTGTCATTACGTACTTTCCGTAAGAAATGTTTAAATTGGTTATTGTCCAGGCAAACAATGGAGGTAGGCATTGTAGTGTAGTTGTGTGTGGATAGTGCTCTGTGTGTAATAGTAAAGAAAAAATCTGTATAACGATTCATGTGTGTGGTAAATATCTAATAATCGGTTTGAAATTTTAGAACTAGAATGATAGTGTGTGTTAGTTCTTCTTTTTATGAACATGGCAGGCTGTAGCAGAATATCAGCGGCGTTGTGAAACAATCCGCCATTGTGCTGAGCTACAGACCTTTTTATCTCACACCACTATTGTTAGTAAACACTGTATAGTGCTTTATATTTTTATTTTTACTCATTAATGTGTAGAGACAAATAAACGATTTTATCATTATTATTATTATCCCATATAGAATTCCGTTGCTCTGGTACTCATAGTACAGAGTACCAGAGCAAAGGAATTCACTCCAGGACACCCGGACTAGAATCAATTTAGGAAAGGGCCTTTCCCAAATTGATTTAACCGGCAATCGAACCTAGGATACCCTCATCCTGTGTCTACAGAGCAAACCGTTGGGCCACTGAAGTCATGAAAATAAATCAAAATGTTGATGTTCCTGATATATCCTGTTATATTCACTGCCTCCGTGGTCGAACTGTTCTTCTGAGTTTTTCGATTTCCGAGCCGAGAGAACTATGTGTATGGCTACATTTACACATTATTTCAGTGCGGGGCGATGAGTGTATTGCGGTATTAATGTATATTCTTGAGACCGAAAATATCAGAGACTTGAGGCTCGAAAATCTCAAAAAATCTCATGATTTGTTAAATTTTCGTGACAAAGGTGAAAGCCTTAGTGAATATGTGTATGTATATGTATATAAAATAAAGTTAACATGCACTGTACCTAGATCGTTGACGGCCTCCAAGGCCGCGAGAAGGCAGAGATCCTGCAGCTGTGCTCCGAGGTACAACGGCTGTCGGACAAGCTCGCCGATTTGTGCATGCAGGGCAAGGGAGACTCTGAGGAGGCGCGGGCCATAACTAGGTATGTTTTTATTGGAAAAAATAAGGGTTTGATTTGACATACGTGAAATATAAATAGAAGAAAAAACAATTTTACTGAATTTGTAAGCACATGAGAAATATATAAATATAATAAAGTTTGTTCCAATCTATTATGCCAGAAACGTAAACAAACCGGTTTGGTTAAAATTCTAAAAGCAATCACTCAATAAATGGAATGAGTAACATTCACGTGTATTTTGAACATTTCATCTTGATATCTCATCACTTTTTTCAGCAATTTTCATTTGAATAACATAATTATTAAATCTTATTTGAAAAATGTTAGTTGCACCGATGTCTTTTAGCACACCGTGTCAGACGCTATACCAACTAAGCTAACTGGTTGACGAAACAGCATGGGTTTCTCATAGATGGCGTTACGGCTAAAAAGTGTTTGACAAAACCAAATACAAGGACACGACAACAAGCACAGAAAAATTCGTGAGGTCCGCCGGTTCGTTCCGTGGTTTAGTTGGTACAGCGTCTGGCACGGTATGCTAGAAGACGTCGGTTCGAATCCGGCCGGATCGAAGGAATTTTTTCTGAGTTTTCGTTCTTTGTATTAATAATAATAACGAACTAGTGGAGTAATTCGACATAAAAATCACGAAAACCCAAGAACTCGATGTTAAAGCAACACGTTAGGTAGGCGTCATGGACCTCTTGGTCCTTGGACGGCAGGGTAAGCCACCCCGGCCCACCGCGGAAGTAACGGTTGCTGTGCGCAGGGAGCTGACGGACAAGCTGCACGAGCTGAAGCGCGCCATGGAGCGCGCCGTCGTCAACCGCGTGGTGGAGGACTTCATCGACGTGGCCGCGCCGCTGCGCCACTTCGCCGACGCCGTCAACGCGCCCGAAGGTACACGCCTTCACTGCGCTGCCGTCCCCGAGAAGAATAATCTTCTCCAATCAACTTTCAGTCCACTTTGTCTGGAATCAACTGCCTCAGTGGCCGAACGGTAACCTTGCTGGACTGCGCAGAGGTCCCGGGTTCGAATCCCGGGCCGGGAGAAATATTTCTATTGCATAGATTTATTTCTTTCATGTGTTTGGGTGTAATTTGTGGTTGTTATGTGTGTGTCTAAAGCACCCGCGATACAGGGTTTCCCTAGTGCGGAGCTATGAGTGTGTGCATTATTATTATACATCTTTATCTAACACGTAGTCTTCAATTTTATAATATCGACGAATCAAAATATTTTTAATGTAATTTTTAAAATTAGATTTAATCGGCATAAAATTGCAGTGGCGACAATTTATTTCAATTTTAATGATTTATCAACTTTTTTGTTAGTCATTTATTACATTTAAATACAATTAAAATGAATTTGGGAACGTCTACGTACATCCAATTCAAACTACATTTAAATATTCGTCCGAAGCAATTGCTGTCAAATAAGTAATACTCAACCGAATTTAAAATACGCGTGATGCAAATAAAGCTTCATACTTGGCATTGCCTTTAGTGTCACTTATTTCACTGTAATTGATTCGGACAGATTGCGGACGGAGACGACAATAGACCCCCTGACAGTATCCCAAACTTCACTCTTATACCCAGTTCTTCTTATCTCTTTATAATATTTGTCAAAGTGGTGAAAAAATTTGCCAATAGGTGTAGGGTTCTCGCCGATTGTTGCCCAGGGTGTGCTAGATATACAGAAATGGAATGCTACGTCGAGCGGGAAGGCTCCTTACGTGCATCCCTTTCGCATACCTACCCCAGTAACATATAACTTAAGAGCATTAAAACTACCCCCTCCCTTTATTATATTCTATTTCGCTGTTACAACATCCTTTATTAATTATATTCTGTCATTGTAGTACTTTATGCGACTGTTACATAATGAAAGGCATTAAAATACGAAAACATCACACGAATGTTTTAATGTCTAGTTATGAACAATTACATTCACTGCCTTATCTATACACATGTTATAAGCTCTCTATGATGTGTTCAGGTACCGCATGTTACGTCTGGTGAAATGGCGGCAAATAAAAACTTTTCTCACGCATGTTTTAATTTAATTCATAGACAAACTAGAGTCGGCCCCAACTATCATATCGTTCGATATCAAGTAACGTGTGAGATTTGTCAAAATTGTCTACTATTGACATTTCATTTTGAATAAAACTTCATCTCGACTGATATTAGAATTGAGGTCGAATAAAATTGTTTTGTTTTTCAGAGATGTACGAAACTTGAATGTAATAATAAAATCGAATTTGATGTTATTAAGAAGCAATAACAACATTTTCACAGATAAGAAATTTGTTCTAACAAAACAGTTTATCTCTATGCTGGTCAAATCAAAGAGGGTTTATGATATGTGTGTAGAAGAACTATTTTAATGTTCATTATTAGAAATATTTATATTATGTATATATAGTACCAGTAGAGCTCCATGTGAAAAAGTTTGTTCAGGGAAGTACTGCCACCTTACCTGTTTCTGCCGCCAAGCAGTAATGTCAGCATTATTGCATTTCGGTTTCGGTAAGGGTGGTGGTGAAAATGCAGGCACATAGCGCCCGTCACCCTGAGATTTCTCAACTTCTCAGGGTAACGGGCGCAGTGGTAGTGCCCCTCAGATCTTTGCGATTTAAAGCTTTGAGCGACACTGCAACTATTATGGACAGGCGTGTCGCTTACCATCAGGCGCACGACATGCTTGTCCCGCCACTTGGTATCATAAAAAAATCTGAAGGGGAAACTATCTTTGGAAATAAAACATTTTTTTGGTATCCAAATCGCGTATATTTTTTTAAACATTCGTTTGTACCTCGCAGGCACTCCGAACCGCGAGCCGAACTTCCACGACAAGGCCGCGGCCCTGGCTGCGTTCAGCCACAAGGCGGCCAGCGCGGCCAACATGGTTGCCGTGGGAGTGGGCCACAACAAACGCTTGGCCGATCAGCTCATTCACAATGCGCAGCAGGTTATAAATACCTTTGATCCGAAGCTCCTCAATTGTTGTTTCAAGCAATCGGTTTGAACAAAATCTTATATATAACTTTTTTATCATCAGGTGGAGAGGCTGTCGCCTCAGCTTATTGCAGCTGGCAAGATTCGCTTGCACTATCCGGAGAGCAAGGTACTGTAGTCGACTTCATCCACTGCTGTATAGGCGTATACACTGCTGTACAAAACATAAGTTTTATAAATGTAACAAACCACTCGGGTTGACGTCTAACCGAAGAGCGAGACAGCCAATAACTTATTTATTTCAATTGGGTTTCATACGTTCGGAACGGTAACTATAGAGGAGGACAACAGGAGGGCATAACGTCGTCTTAGAGGGAAAACCTCGTGTACGCGTTTGCTAATTAAAATGTTAACTACAAACATTATTGCTTTTACGACACTTTAGACCACATTTTTATTTACGTCCTGAAAAACTACAGATAAATCACATACCAGGTATTCACTCTAAGACAACCTTAAACACATTTTGATATCCTAATTTAGACACTATGTTTATGCCATCCGCTACGGTTATGCGCTAGTCTCACCCATCTAATGTCCAATGCAGGACTTACACATCTGTAACAATAAATTGCATCCTTGGTATAATAAGGCCACATCTGCAAAATTACAACTTTTTAATGACTTTCATTTGATAAACAAACACGTAGCAAATCAGTATAAATAAGTTTCCCAAGTATTATACAATTACTTGTCTACCAACCAACGACTCATTCATGTTTCACTTATACCACCTGATATAAACCCATATAACAAAAACATGGTATTCAATGAAATAAGTATTGTAAAAAGCGATATTTCTTATCAGCTCCTGGTACCTGAAAAGACTTAGTAAACAAAATACTTTCATAGGTTAATCGTGAAAAAATCGTGAGATCTGCTGGTTCTTTTTCGTATCTCAGTTGGGAGAGCAGTTAGCCCCGTTCTGGCAAACAAGTACTGGTTCGAATCCAGTCGAATCGAAAGAATTTATCTTTGTATTTGGTTCCAACATTGAAGTAATGGAGTATTTTCACAAAAAATACGATTATGTTGAGCTATGGAAGCTTTATATAATGAAGTAATCAGAAACGTTCTACTGGTTCTAAAGGTATGTTCACGGACTTTGGCATTTGCAGGTGGCGGAAGAGCATTTCAACAACCTGAAGGACCAATACGCGGACGCCGTTTTGCGCGTGCGCGACTTGTGCGACCAGGCCGTTGATCCGTTGGACTTTGTTCGCACTGCTGGTTGGTTTTTATTTTCATCATCCTCTAACCAATATGCGTCCCATTGCTGGGTCCACTGAGTCTCGTCTAATTAGAAAGTTGAAGGCATAGCCTGAGACGCTGGTCCAATGTGGGTGAGGGATGTCACACGTTATGGAATTGTAAAGAGCTATGAAGCGTCTTCGAATCACATTTGCCTTCAGCGTGTTTAAGAGTTAAAGCCAGCAAGGATCAATGACTCAAGTAGACTGCTATTGGCGATACAGGATAGCGTAGTCGGGTACATGGGACCTATTAGTTCACCATATGTCGCAACCAAGTAGCTATTTTTGTAACTGATTTGTTTTATCAAAGCAATAGTCTGTCTTTTTTAAAGACGAGGTAAAATGACCGAGTGTTCAAGCCCAGTGAAAAAGAGAGAAAAAGAAATTACAAATTTTAGCGACGCGTGGGACGGCGGCGATCGTTTCGTGAAGAGAATTTAGATTTTTTATGTTTTTTTTTATTTTACGGCTACGGCCCGCTCGGAGCGTGGGCAGTTGCCATGTCTGCCCCAGACAACAATTCATAGCGCAAAAGTGTGGCCCGCTAGTTAGTGATTGCCGTCCATAAATATTGTATCGATTATCGAGTGACTGTAAATACCAGTGGCGAAGCGAAAATTGTCTCCAGTACAACCGGAGCAAAACAAAAACCACTGGCCTGAACAAGTGGCGTGACAATTAAAAGCAAAACTTATTAGCGCATAAGATTCTAGTACACTTTTTCATTGGTTAATGATTCTACACGTAAAATTGAGCACAAAATGTGGTAAATTGCTTTAAAATATTCATAATATTTGATGACACGTGGAAAATTATAGGCAAACCGGTGGGAATCGAGTTATATGGATGCCTCGCCACTGATAAATACTTAATAGCAAATATAAACATCTCCGCGAAGTGCCGAGAATTGTAGAAGGAAATGTCCACATTATTCTTTACTTTATCTAAATTAACTTCCTCGATTGCGATCATCGGTGATCACACAATTTAAATTACTGTTGTTCATTTACTACTAATATTTGCTGACGTTGTATATTTGCACTACAATTTGAGGCGATCGGTCATCAGAGAGTGGCAGTGGGTTAAAACCCAGTTAACTCGCCCGGGTTTTCACCGGTTTTTTTCCCAAAGCACCTGGTATGAATCTTTTTTTTTTTATAATATCATGTTACGGGACGAACAAGTCGTGCGCCTGATGGTAAGCTACACGCCTGTTCATAACAGTTGCAGTGCCGCTAACAACTAAGTTACATTTCATGAACAATAATAATAATTTTTTTTTAAATTTGAAACCAGGCAATATTCTCAATTTCACTTACGCCCGCTACCTGTCCGCTCTGTCTCTAAACTAATGAGAAGAAGAAATAAACAGTTTATCTCATTAATTTAAATTAAAATGACATAGTAATAGGAAATGAAACTATTTTTCCGGATTTAAATCGCGTAATTTTGTTTTTTCAAACAAACCGACGTTTCGGGCCCTTTACAGGTTTGGGATCCAGTATTTCCTCTAATGAAAAATCCCAAACAGACAAGATTGCAGTACTAATTAATAGGTTTTAGTTTATTCTAATTTCTATTAATAATTAATTATAAATTGAACTTAATAAAAATTCATTCAATAAAATAATTTGTAAAACTTAATATAGCGTAAATTGGAATGTTTTCTTTGTAAAATTAAAAATAAGGTATTTAATTAATAACTATTGTAACTATAGTGAAAAAAAATAGGGTGGTTTGCATCAATATTAGACATAACTGGTTGAAGACTGTACTACCTCAGTCAGCCGTGACCATGGGACCAGTAAAGGGCCCGAAATGTCGGTTTGTTTGAAAAAACAAATATACGCGATTTAAATCCGGAAAAATAGTTTCATTTCCTATGTGTAACAATCGCGAAAACCTAAGAACTCGAGACATAGTAATAGCCAAATTGTAATTATTAATTTTGTTTACAGGTGAATTGATGCAGAAGCACACCTACTTATGCGAAGATGCTATTCGTAATAACGATTCACAGAAGATGGTCGACAATACATCGGCGATTGCTAGGTAAGTGTCCCAACGATCATCAACAACCTTTTATACGTTCCACTGCTGGGTACGGGTTTTCTGTAAGAAGAGCGTTTAGGTCGTAGACTGCAGTTGTGAACCATCATCGACGTGCAGGTTTCATCAAAATGTTTCTTAAATCGAACTCTGAAGTTAAAGTCACACAATCATTTATTCCATAGGTAAAATTTTTACATTTGAAAATGTCATTTTTAAGCTACTGCTCGTTCACTGCTGACTTTCCTGAGAAGAACGAGCAAGAAACTCTAGGGGAATTGCTCTCTTCAAATACATATAACTTAAATGTTATAGAAAACACTTTGAATCTTATTTGTGTGGAATCTGGACTCATGTTGTCGTTCCATACATCTTTATCTAACACATAGTCTTCAATTTTGCAATATTGCAAGGAGCTCTGCTGCTACTAAGTTCGTCCAGGGAAGTACTGCCACCTTACCTATTACCGCCAAGCAGTAATGTCAGCATTACTGTGTTCCAGTTTTGAAGGGTAAGGGTGCTGGTGAAATTACAGGCACATGGGACTTGTCAACTTATGTTTCAGGGTGTCGGGCGCAGTGGTAGTGCATCTTTGCGATTTAAAGCTCTGAGTGGCACTGCAACTGTTATGGACAGGCGTGTAGCTTATCATCAGGCGCACGACTTGTTCGTCCCGTCACTTGATATTATAAAAAAAATATGACTATTCAGTTAAATTACTTTAGACGTAACTTTTAAAGTTGGGAAATGGTAATCTTAATACAGTTTGTTGATTTGTATTCTCGCCGTATTTAAGAAACTAATAATAGAAATAATGCTAAATCATCTAAAAATATAAAAAAAATGAATATTCTGTTTAATATTCAGGCTAATTGCATCTAGTAAAGTTTCGCAAAATAAATTGTCTTTAAATCGTATGCACCGCGCGAGGTCAGTGACCCCGCCACTTGCTTTGCAATGTGTTCAAAAACCGCAAATTACGACCAGCATAAAGATAAACTGTTTTGTTTGAACAAATTTCTTATCTGTGAAAATGTTGTTATTGGTTCATAATAACATTAAATTCGATTTTATTATTACATTCAAATTTCGAACATCTCTGAAAAACAAAATAATTTTAATTAATAGATTCAGGCGTTACTTTGCGGAAGGCCATGTGGCGTTTTTAGTTAATTATTCCACCCTCCTGCCTGAGGATGCCTCGTGGAGAAGTGAAACACGTGTCGGGTATATTTTTGGTGATGGTTTGCGACTATAGTTGCGCTTATGTTATTTATTTTATTAATTTTATGCGGAGGGTTGGTGGGATAATTAACTGCATGAAAAAAGTATTCAACACAAGCGCAGCTATTTTGCACGATTTAACCTTCACTGGGCTCGCGGAGTAGCAAATTAATTTACTTCAATTTTTAAAACAATTTTATACGACCTCAATTCTAATATTAGTCGAGATGAAATTTTATTCGAAATGAAATGTCAAGGGCAAACAATTTTGACAAATCTCACACGTTACTTGATATCGAACGATATGATACTTGGGGCCGACTCTAGTTTGTCTATGAATTAAATAAAAACTACGCGTGACATGCGTGAGAAAAATTTTTATTTGCCGCCATTTCATCAGTCGTAACTTGCGGTTCCTGAACACATCACAGAAAGCTTATAATATATATTATGTGTAGACAAAGTAGTGTATGTAACTACATAATTAGGCATTAAAACACTCGTGGGTTGTTTACATATAAACCCACACTCGTATTTTAATGTCTTTCATTATGTAACAGTTACATAAACTACTATTTACTTTTTCCATTATACATCTTGCTCTGTTTAGTCTTTTATTATTTCTTCGTATTGTTTGAGAAAAGCACTATATACGCCTCGGCCGGAACGGCGATTGCTTGACTCATACTCTGCAGTAATGCACTATTTCTTAAGTAGTAAGCTCGTTAAGTGACATTCGAAGTGAGGGCGCGCCCACTCCGCGGCGGCCGCCACACAGCGACCGCAGGCTAACTGTCATGGCAAAAGATGCTCGATCTGTTTAGCCTTCACGGTTTTTTAGAGTCTGGCTTGAATTCGGTCTTGTTGCATAGTAAATAGAGTTCAGATCCGCCGGTAATGTACACGAAGGCGCGATAACTCGTGTAACGGAGGCTTGCGCAGGCTGGCCAACCGCGTGCTGCTGGTGGGCGGCGCCGAGCGCGACAACTCGGAGGACGCGGAGTTCGCGCGCGCGCTGGCGGCCGCGCACCAGCGCCTGCAGGCCGCCATCGCGCCCGCCGTGCGGCTGGCCAAGGCCGTGGCGCTGCAGCAGCGCGCGCAGGTGCCGCCCTGGCGCGCCGCCAACGCCGAGGTACGCCGTTGCTGCCCCGTGGCACCCCACACCGGGCTTTCGCTAGCACTTAAACCTTAGGATAATAACGCATACAAACCTAGTCCGCACAACGCTACGTGAGGCAAATTGAAGCGCTCCCAATGGGCCTTCAGCGCTCAAGATCAACTTGCACCGCGAACAACTCCAGAATTTTAGCTAAAAATGACGAAATGTGCGGTAAATGAGTGTAAAAATACGTCAGACAAACATAAAATAGATACTAACATCACATTCCACAAGGAAGTAACGCGTTTCAACTTGTATTTTTATATAAATATTCACTAAAACCGAAAATTAACCTACTACTAAAACCAGCCTACATGAATTTGATTTTTGCCTCACTTGTGACAGTTCGTTTGATATGAAACTATCATTCTATGCGTTATTATTCTAAGACTTAAACCTTTCCACACGTTCACAAACTCAATACGCTTCGAACGCACGTTTCTACCGCATTTTATTCGCGTTTCAATCGATACAAACGCAACAATCTGTGATTTGTAATCCTCTACGGCGTTCATGAAACGCGTGTCGTCGTCCCTTATAAAACTCGCCCCGTGTGCATGGGCTCTTAATATTAAAGGAAACATTTTTCGTTTTTGTTGTGGCTACATAATAACCCTGGATTTCATTTCTACCGTTTTTCAATCTTTACAAATTATATTAAGCTATACTCTACAACACTGCCGCATTCATGTAACCAGCAACCAGAATAACCTAAAAGTTTGATAAGCGCCATCTATTGTTAATTTTAATAAGTCCTCTACTTCTACCTGACCCGTTTATGTAAAAATACCATAATATATTACTTAAAATTTACTAACTCAACTAATATTACCAGTTGACCACTAAATAATGTCATGTACCTTCCAATAAATCTGTCAATAATACTTTCCTCTGTTGCCAGCTGTAAGGTATGCATGCTAATTTATATCAATTAATAATGTTTTGAAAGTAACTTTGCCGCTTTGAACTTATAAAGTTAAAGTAACCTCCGTGGTTGTGTAACTTGCACACCGGTTTTCCTAATGTCGCCATCACTGACGTCCCGGGTTCGATCCCCGGTCAGGTCAATGTAGAAAAGCTTATCTATATTGTCTCGGGTCTGGGTGTTTATAGTACCGCCATTGTTTCCGATTCCCATAATACAAATGCTTTGGTATCGAAGCAACGTACGTGATGTTGTCTAATATTCATATTTATTTATATATTAAGCACAAAAAAATAATATTTGCAGATCATAAGTGCAGCAGGCGACGTAGAGGCTGCCCTGGGCAGACACTACGCCCCTCCTCCGCCTCCTCCCGCGCTGCCAGAGGCGCTCAGCAAGATGCACCTGCTGGAGACCCACGCCCCTCCGCGGCCCCCACCGCCTTCCACCGGCGCTGCCCCTCCACGTCCGCCGCCTCCCGCGGACACGGATGACGAAGGCGAGGACATCTTTAGACGGCAGCCGCATCCCAGTCAGCCAATCTTGGTAAGTCAGCACTGTCAATAGTCGTAAATTAAAATAGTGGTTAGACACGGTTTCTGACCTTCAAGGTCTGAATCATGCTGGAAGAATATGCTCTCAACCACCCACGTGTAAGATGTTAATAACGGCACCACTAGATGGCGTTTTTAATGCTCTTATTAGATAGTTTCCCACAGACAAAGTGGACGAAGTTTAGTATTACAAACATTACCAATAAATATTAATAATAATAAAAATGAACTAATCAAAGATGCACTTTTGTATGATTTTTTCTCTAATAAAACTTATTCGATATTAAGCAACCCCTTTTTTAAGCTTGCAGCTAACTACCTAATGTCCCATATAACGTAGCAAATTCAATTTTTTTTTGTATCTATACGAAAGTTCTTTCTCATGCCTTTTTAAAAAAATGGTACTATGAATTGATGTTTATATTTTAAAACTAACATTTTACAAAAGATTGAATATATTATGTTATAAAAATGAAGGAAAAATGTAATAGTCAGTTGTTACAAATATCAAACAATTGTGAATGAACGAATGTGTGAAATGAGTGAATGAATAGTAGTATCATTTGTAGCGCATTAAAAAATTTGATACGATTCAATGCGATTAAAGGCGCATCATCATTCAGCCATACGACGCTCACTGCTGGGCATAGGCCTCCCCCAACGATCTCCACAACGTTCGGTCCTGCGCTGCCTGCATCCATCGGCTTCCCGCGACCTCCACCAGGTCGTCGGTCCACCTGGTGGGTGGCCTACCCACTGAGCGTCGTTCGGTGCGCGGTCGCCATTGAAGAACCTATCCGCCCCAACGGCCATCGGTTCTCCTAGCTATGTGCCCCGCCCACTGCCACTTCAGCTGAGCAATTCTTCGAGCTATGTCGGTTACCTTAGTTCTCCTACGGATTTCCTCATTTCTGATTCTATCACTTAGGGAAATACGGAGTATCGCTCTCTCCATTGCCCGCTGGGTGACCTTGAGCCTTCTTATGAGGCCCATAGTGAGGGACCAAGTTTCTGATCCATATGTGATCACTGGCAATACACACTGGTCAAAGACTTTCGTCTTGAGACGTTGAGGTAATTTGGACGCAAAGATTTTTTGTAGTTTCCCGAACGCTGCCCATCCGAGCTGGATTCGACGAGAGATCTCTTTCTCAAAGTTGGACTTACCTAACTGGACTGTCTGCCCCAGGTATACGTAATGGTCAACAACTTCGAGTGTAATGCTCCCAATTTTAACTGGAGCGGGTACAATATGGACATTCGACATGATCTTCGTCTTGTCTATGTTCATCTTAAGACCCACTCTTTGGGAAACATTACTGAGATCTTCGAGCATTGTGTTCATGTCTCCCAAGGTCTCAGCCATAAGAACTATTTCATCGGCAAATCGAAGGTGTCTTAGGTACTCGCCATTGATGTTGATGCCAAGTCCTTTCCAGTCCAG